CATTCTAACTGGGGTGAGGTGGTATCTCAATGTTGTTTGATTTGCATTTATTTTATGGCTAGAGAAGTTGAGCATTTCTTCATATGTCTATTGGCCATTCTTATTTCCTCTTCAGAGAAGTTTGTCTTTAAGTCTTTAGCCCACTTATTTATTGGGAAGTTGTTTCTTTGAGGATTTGTTTTGGGGGGATTTAGTTTTTTGAGTTCCCAGTATATATTAGATAAGTGACCTTTATACATTGTGTGGCTAGAGAAGATTTTCTCCCAATCCATGGGTTTTCTATGGATCTTGTTAGCTATGTCCTTTGCCATGCAGAAGTTCTGCAGCTTCAAAACTATGCCTCCAACAGAAAGAATGACATTGCCCCATTTGTTAGGAAATGGATAGACTTGGAGAAAATTATATTAAGTGAAGTAAGCCAGTCCCAAAAAATATAGGTCCCATGGTTTCCCTTATTTGAAATCATTAGTACATGTCTAGGACAAGCAGAAAAGGTCAAAAGCTACGTACTTATGACCAGAAAAGATGATGTTAAGTGAAATGAACCAAAAGATAGGGAGATAAGTGTTTTTTTTTCTTTTTTGCTATTGTTTCTAACATATTTATAATGTACCATGTGATTTTTTTGTTGCTTTGTATGTCCCTTCCCCATAGTATAACCTCTGTTTTCACTGTATTTGATGGCAGTCTAATTTGGGGAGGGGAAGGGAAGAAAATGTTTAATTAGGGATACAGGCTGACCCATTGTAACAATGAGATGTACAAAACATTATGTTGAAATATAAACTTTACATTTTAGGTGGGGTGGAAGGGAAGTGTAGTTGTGGAGAGGGGAGGGAAGGGATGGTAGGGAAAAACAAAGGAGGAGGCAACAATGCTTGATAGGAAATGCACTCATTACCTTGCTCATGTAACTGTAACCTCTCTGAACAGTATTTTTCATTAAAAAACATATTAAAAGAAAGATTTTTTCAAAAGAGACATGTTAAATTGAAATTTCAAAAGCCAACTGTATAATTTTGTGGATCGTATTGATGGTACCAAATTCTCCTACCACAGGGCTCCAGTCCTTCACTGCATTATAAAGACAAATCTGTCAAACAAGAGGGTCAGGACTCCTTGTTCTCCAAGGGCATCTCATTATCCTAGAGAAAATTTGGCTTCATGTGTGACCAACTTCCAAGGGAAATCTACCCAACACCCCATCTCCACCCCTGCACCTGTGTCTTGAGTTCTCTTACTGGTATCCATATATAAATTCTATAGATTCAGGATCCCTTTCTCACAGTTCAGTTTGCCTCACTGTTTGATTCAATGGAAAATCCATAATCTTATTTCAAATATTCTCTAGGTCATGGAAAGAAATGCTATTTATATTAATTCAGCAGTTTAACTGCATTTCAGAAAAAGCTTTGGCATAAAAGATACAAACGTCTGGTTGGAGGATGAAAACCCAGACATGTCTTAAATAATAACTTGTATTCTAAGAGAAAATAAGGTGAGGGTGATGATCAAAAAGGAGGGATCTACATGTTTAATTTCATAAATTAGATACGTTTCTAAAACAAAATCTTGCTTAACTGCAGTGATCACCATTAATTCCTGTGTATTCCTGACAATAATTTTTTAAATGGTAGCTTAATTGGTCCTTTGGGAATGAATCCTTTGCAAAGCCAATGTCATGTTTCATGTACTAGCTTTCAGAAAGATTCTGTGCAGATAAATTTAGTTATAATGGGGACTATAAGTAGATATCCATGCAGTCAGATTGTGGCTCTGTTTCCTACTTAAAATTTAAGTTGGAGCATTGTATAGATTTTTCACGTGAATTGTGAATGATAATATCTACTTCTTGAGATTGATTTAAACAAAAAAAAGTATGAATTATATTAAACAACAGTATGACCTGGGCTTGTGGCCTCACATCTGTAATCCTAGGTACTCAGGAAATTCATATCTGGAAGATCATGATTTGAAGCCAACAAAAAGCAGGGATGGAGGCATGGCTCAAGTGATAGAGCACCAGCCAAGGAAGCAAACCAAATGACCATGAGGTTCTGAATTCAAACTCTGGTCCAGAGAAAAAAGGAGTCATTAATATCTAGATGCTCTATTTAACCACTGCTGTTAGAGCTGGAAATGTAACTCACTAGTAGAGGATCTATAGAAGATTCTTGGTTTGATTCCTAGTTCCTCAACACATGAAAAATGTAGAAATTTAGCTATATTTCAACTATCATTTCCATTGATACTTAAATCAACTATTACTTTTGAAATAAAGCAATCTTGAAACTAAAGAGATTAATCACTATAGTGATTAATGTATTAGGATGTCTATAACATCCTAATTTATTGGTACAAAACTACTCCATGCTAGGAGTTCTTAGGTGATGGTTCTTAGTATTGTCACTCCAACTGATCATAAGCTCCTTGAGGACAGAATTCACACTGATCATAGGCTTGGCATTTGGCAAGGTGCCTGATGGTTGAGAATGAACATGATGTGCAATGTTCATTTATATACTGGCACACAACATATAGGAGTCACTACAATTATCAAGTATACTCATCTTTTAATATATTTAATATATTAATATAAGAAAGTGATAGTCCATGTGTAATCTGTATCAAGGAGCTTGTTAAACAAACATTTGTTAAATAAATGAATATTGCTAATATTCATTTCATATTATACTTTCATTGTGTTCACCTCTCAGCAGACTTTACAAAAGTCATCTTTTCTTCTTCTAGATTATATTGTACAATTAGTAGGTTACCAGTGCAGAATACACATGACACTTCTGTACTGGCAAATGTCTTTTTGCTTAGATTTACTTGTTACCTCATATCAAGACTCTGGGTGCATTGTGCTCGCTTTCTCAACTCAGAAGGTTCAGATCTGAGGATCACAGTTTAAAACTAGCTAGGGCAGAAAATTCTCTGACACTCTTTTCTCCAATTAGCAACCAAAAAGTCAGAAGTGGTACAGCTAAGCAACTTCCTCCAGGCCCTGAGTTCAAGATCCAGGACCATCCCTTCCCCAAAAAATGTCATGGGAGATTAACACATGATACAGTTCTTTGTATCCACCATAATAAATCTAAGTTTTAAAATTTATAGTTGATACAGTTGGAATCTTATAGAATACAACATGAATACATACATTGACACTAATAGAAATGACTTCTCCTTTATAATCTTTTAAGTAAAGGCGATCTCAGATTTGAAATGTTCCAAAAAGAATCAGATAACAAAGCCTCATTGTGAAACACAATACTGTAAAATAGAGTGAGAAGGTTTGAATTTCATTGTAAAGAAAGAATGCAAATGATACTTTGCCAAATAGGTGGCATTCATGCTTAATTGAAGCTATTATTGCAGTGAGAAGAAATAACAATTTTACTTCAAGGGAGTGTTAATTGACAGTATTATAATATGTGTGCATTGTATGCACTATAGGAAAGAAAAGATGCTTTTATGAAAGTATAATGAAAATGAAGGTATCTATATAAATCCAAGAAATAATACTATAACAATATAGCTAATTAAACAGGTCTTTTACCATATTCACATAGCTTCAGAGAGAAACAATTTTGGGTGACATAGTAACATGCTTACCATTTCTCTCCTAATGTACTCTTCCTAGTTTCCTCATTTTCTTTATATCCCACTGTTCCATCGTATCTACTTAGTAAGAACTAAAACATACAGGTATTTTTGCATTATTGGTTAACATCCTGGGTTTGAGTTTCTCATCCTGCCATGGATGCTTTGATTTTTGAAGGAATTATTTTAAAAGAAATAAGAATGTTACCTAGCCTTGTAGGTTACTCTTGTAATCCCAGCTACTCTGGAGATGGAGATTTAAAAGATTTAATTTCAATGTCTGGATCAATAATTTGCAAAGTCCTCTCTAAATCAATAAGTTGGTTGTTGTGTTCTGTAACTACTTCAGAGGCAGAAAGTAGGGAGCTTGCTGTCTGAGGCTAGCCCTGAGGAAGTGTGAGACCCTATCCAATTAATGACTAAAGCAAAAGGCTAAAAACATTGCTCAAATGAGCTCAAACTTCATTACTGTTTTAAAAAAAGAAAAAAAAATAAAGGAAAAACAGAAGTACTAAAAAGACAGTACTAAAATGTGTGGTAGATTACTTATTTGAAAGCAACCATTTAACTTAAAGTTTAAACCATTGCTAGGAAAGGGTAGAGGTTATTTGTATTCATGGAAAAGCACTTCCACAAGAAGGAGTCTATCCTGATCAGACTCATTGTTCCAGAAATGACAGTTGCATGATACATATAAACATGACATGATTTGAGATAGCATGGAGGACTCAAAGGTAGGACACACCTGCACCTGCCAACATTGTCACAGGAAAAGAGACAGACCTATATTGGTGTAATTCATATTACAGAGCACGAAGCATTCTAAGCATCTTCTAGAAAAGTAGGAGAGCAATAGACTTCAAGGAGGTGTCAGCATGAGTTTCACTGGGGGGATTGGAAAAGTGGGAGGGGTCTTCCCACCTCGGTGAAGGTGAGATATCAGAAGGAAAATGGAAGCACAGGATATACAGAGGATCCACTGAACTTCATTCCAGGGTTTACTAGGTGACGTGAAGGGTTGGAGGATAAGGGTTAAAGAACATTGAATAGGTGAAACAGCACTGTCTTGGTATGTCAAATGGAGGGAACCATTGGTGTATTATTGTGTAATCAATACAGAGACCCTGAAAATTTTGACCAAGAAAAAATATACTGTTGGGTAGAGAAGATGTGAAGTGGTACTGATGATCAGAAGACAAGGCACAAAAGAAGGAGTAAACCCTGTAGTGGAATATTTTGTGTTCTGATTTCTTCCAGACACTTATTTCTACATTTTACCGGAAATATAAATATATACATATATATATGTGTGTGTGTACTTATGTTTGTGTATGTATATAAATGAATTCTTAATACCAAACGATGATAGATAACTCTACTCTTTCTTATTTCAGATTTTCCATTATTCATATACTGCTTCCTATGTGATTTACAACATACACACTAAGTAAGTTCTTTGACATTCTGTTTTCTATGAGGAATTGTCAAGCTACATTGTTTTTGCAGATGCCATATTGTTCATGTAAACTTATTTACTCTTTTTCCAAGGGAAGTTTGGGAGTTAAATCCTCCAGAAGTGCAGGACTCCATCTTGCAGTACGCAGCTTGGGGTGTTCAAGGCCAACAGCTGGTAAGCATGGGTGGGAAGCGTGGCCATGGGGTGCTTTATGGGGTATTGAGTACCATTGTTTGCAAGGTAGATAGAGAAATCTAGTATTCTATTATATTCAGCATTTTCTCATTTCTATCTGACATAGTTACTGGCTAGATATTCTAGTTTACAGATGTTATTAATTATCACCAGTATGACTATCTAGTCAATAATGTAACCTAGAAGAAACACAAAATGACAAAGCCTACCTCTATATACTTTCCATTACCGAATAGTGTCAATTTTTGCTTAAAGTGCAAACAGTGTTATTTATTTTTGTAGGATCAGACAGGGTAAGAAATTTAGAAAGAAGGGGCTGGGAAGGTGGCTCAGTGGTAGAGCACTTGCCTTGCATGCCTGAGGCCCTGTGTTCGATTCCTCAGCACCACATAAGCAAAAAAGAAAAAAGCTGGAAGCGGTGCTGTGGCTCAAGTGGTAGAGCACTAGCCTTGAGCTGAAGAGCTGAGGGACAGCACCCAGGCCCAGAGTTCAGGCCCCATGACTGGACCACCCCCCAAAACAAACAAAAAAAAATAGAAAGAAGTGCTGGACATTTTTAGAATTGTTTATATTATTATATCATTGTACAAAAGGCTTCAAATTAGCATGGCAGTTTATGAGTACAACTATTTTATATTCTTTTGAGAGATACCTTCATCAAATAAATCTTAATATTATCACAATGCAAAATAGAGTGCTACTGATGTACAAAAGAGGTTGAAACACAGTCATGCACCTGGTCATGTCTAATGGACCCATGCTGAAACTTTCTCCAGATAGTACCACTCAGCAGAGTAGAGTAGAGCTTAAATAGCTTTATGTGTAAGCTCAGTTTATTAAGATTGCTTACTTGATTTCTTTTCAATTATTATTGTTGTCATTGTTGTTATTGACTAGTTAAACAAAAGGGGGACAATTCCATAATTTAGGTTACTAGGATAATGCTTCTTGCTCAGTGTTACCCCTTTCATTTTTCTCCATCTTCCCTCTTCATTCCTTAACAGCAAATCATAATGTTCATTTTCTATATAATGTATATTGAATATAATGACTGAATTTGATTACTCTTCCTTCCTCCATTTCTCTTTCCCACCTTTACCCACTCTCCAAGCACATGTGTCTACTTCCTGGTGTTTGTTTTGATGAACAGTGAACAGTGCTTTAGTTGTTCAGGGGATTTACTCTACTTACTTGATTTCTAAACCATTCATCAGCTATATACACCCTTATCTGTCACTGTGGGAACATTCCCTTTGTTTCAGATCCTTACCAAGACTTAAAGCATCACCAGTATGACTACTGGCATGAGACTTATCTCATGATAGTAAATGGCATTTACTATTTCCTTTAGGTAGGGGAACTTTTGTTAGAGTTATTGGCTCTTGTGTTGTCTCATATGAGAAACCTATTAATACATTTGATCTAGTCTTTTGTTTGTCACCTTTTATTTTTTAAAGGGTTTATTGTATATGTTGCATTGGACCTAAGCCCATAAAATAATTGACTGGATTTTTCTCTCACATTCTTGTTTCATTTCTCCAATCAATCAGTATGATATTTCTGTAAAGGTATATTCAGTTCTGTGGTAATATTCTCCATCTACTATTCATTTTATTTCTGTTCCCCCCTTTAATCATTGTTGCAATTTTAATGTAGATTTTATTATGACCTTTTTAAACATGCATAAAAAGATGGGTTCCTCTCTTGTTCTCTTTTTTTTTTTTATCCCATCCATCTCCCACTGGACTCATCTCCAAACAGTCCTCATTTTATGTCCAAGACCTTTGTTTTATTTTAAAATTTTCATATAGGAAAACCAGCTATTTTTTCTATATCTGGATTATTTTAACCTGCAGTTCCAACCATTTTCTGAAAATAACATATATTTGTGCTTCTTTATGTCTGAATAATATTCCGTAGTGAATATATACTACATTCTTTATCCATTCATCTGTTGAGTGGCACTTCAGCTGATATCACAGCTTGGTTGTTGTGAATAGTGCTGGGAATGGCATATGTGTATCTCTATTATCTCGATTATATGCTGAGTTGATTTCTGTGGATACATGCCAAGATCATATGATAGTTGTACTTTTAGTTTTTTGAGAAACCTGCATACTTATTGCCATAGTTTCCTTTGTTCAGCTCTTTCTTTTCTTCTGGTTGGGTGTTTGCTTAAGATACTTTCTTTTGTTTTATTTTGTGTTGTTTTCTGGATATCCTTGGGTTTCAGTTCAAAGCTCCATGCTTGACAGGCTGTTATTCTACCACTTATGCCATACCTTTAGACATTTTTGAATTATTTTCTGATAGACTTAACATTTTTCCATAGCCAGCCTGAATTTCAGTCCTCCCACTTATGACTCCTGCCATGACAGCGATGTTTTGCTTCATCTGCTGAGATGGGACTCGAGAATATTTTGCCTTTTTTTCCCTTGCACTCTAATATTTCTTTACTTAGTTTCCTGTGTAGCTGGGATAATAGACCTATATCATGGTGTCCAGCTTTTGATTAAGTTGAGACCTCATGATTTTTTTTTCTGTTTGGCCTGGAGCCATGATCCTCCTGTTGTCTGCTTCCTGAGTACTTATGGTAAGAGGCATGGGCCCAGTACTTGATTACCACTCCATTGATAACTTACTACTCTACCTGGTCCCTAGCTGCATGTGTTATCTGTTGACTCTGTTTTCTTTATCTGGATTATCTATATCTGGGAATACTGGGTTTATCCACGTCTGGAAACATCTGTGTCTTTATTAAAAGGAGACTCCATATCTTGCTGGAACAGTCTCAAAGTTTCAATTTTCACTTGAAATGAATTTTGGCTCTTCATGTCTTTTTAGTCATTAATATTAGTGTCAAAGTTGGCTTTCAATTTCCATTTCCCTTTTTGGAAATCTAAATGGCAAAACCTAATATCTGTATGTCAATTTGAGAAAAACTTTATGATAGTGAATCCTTATGCTCATGAACATTTTGCATATTTTAGGCATTTAGGATTTCCTCAATAGCTCAATCTAATTTTAAACTTTTCTACCAGATATTTGCACCTTATAATTTCAGTTGACATCTTAAATTCATGTGCATTCTTATTTTTTTTAAATGAATCTCTTTTGCCTAGTGCTGGTAGCTTACACCTAGATTTTAGTAAGCTGAGCTCTGGAGGATAATGTTTCAAAGCCAGCCTAGGCAGAAAATGCCTTTGAGACCCCACTTCCAATTAAACAGTAGATGGAATACTAGAGGCCTGGCTGTAGCAACAAAGTACCAAACAAGCACTAGACTCTAAGTTCAAGCCCTGCTACTGCCAGAAAAAAATATTTTTCTACTTGTAGAAGAAAAAATATATACTCAAGTTACATATTGATTGATTGAGATTTTGTGTGTGTGTGTGTGTGCATGAACATGCAAATATGCATGTTGATACTGGTACTGAACTCAAGGCATACCACTCTTGCTCATCTTCTGGTGCATTACCAAGTGAGCCATGCCTCTAGTCTGGCAGTATACTGGGTAATTGGAAATGAGGTCTCATCAATATTTCCTGCCCTGGGTGGTTTTGAATTCTGATCCTCCAGGTAGCTACCCGAGTAGGTAGAATTATAGGTGTGAACTATCAGCATCTGGATGATTTTTAAATAAAATAATTATAATGATATTGGTGTAGCTATGTTTAGTTTATTTGTAAACAGAATATTTTAAAGGATTGATGATATGGGTAAATTATATTTGAATGTCCATATCACAAGAAGCTGTAAATAAACACATATTTATTAAATGATAATTCTTTTGATTGGAAAATGTTCTGTCCTAGAACAAATGCTGAACGGAAGAAGCCAGAAATGGACTCTGTCTGAGTGGCTAGTGGGCTTGGACAAGTCATTTTAAAATAAATACTTCCTCTTCATCATGTGTGACAGTATTTGACTCTGATTCTGAGCCTAGGCTATTTAAAATATTATATTGTGCTATTTTAAAAAATAATTACATTCTTTATTTTCATTGTGATAAAGTGGGATAGATAAGATTGGCTATGGAAGTTTATAAAAAGTTAAGAGGATTTTCATTCATTTAAAAAACATACATAGCTTGTCCCTCTGAAACATTAAGACTGAGATTTGATGACCAAGATTTAAAACAAGTACAGAAGAGTTTTTTCTGGAATGAGCTAATAAAAAGCTGAAACTAGATGTGCAGGTCGGGGGGTGGGGGCAGTGGGCTTGGGTTTGAGTCATAGTCTTGGCAAACACACACACACACACACACACACACACACACACACACAAACACAGTTCCTTCAAACCATATAGACATAATATCTAGAAAATATGGTGACTATATGACTTAGTTGTAGCAAATGGATTTATTTAAAATATATGATTTGGAGGGCTGACTGAAGCTAAGGCATTAGAAGCATCAAGACTCTGCCTTCATCTGATCATACAAATAATATTTATTGAAATGAACTCCAAGAAATGAAAACAAAAGTTTTTTTTTAATTTTTGTGTTGTTTTTATTTTCTTTCCTTTTTGTTCTGTTTGTTTATCTGTCTTTGGGAGAGTAAAGAGAGGCACAGAAATGGAGGGGTAAAGGGTGAACAAATTCAGCAATGGTTCTTACTGGAAACTATGTTAAAAATGAACTATACAACTTATGGAGGGGAATGGGAGGACAAAACTAGGAGGGAACAAGGGAAGGGGTGATATTGTTCATAAAGAAACTTACTCTTTATGTGGCTTATGTAAATGTACATCACTTTTATAACAACAAGAAGAATCTGTCTCCACACCCAGCCAACAATTAGACAAGTACATATGTAACTATTGGGTACTCTAGAATCTGTTGAAAGTTTTGACTGCCATGGGGAAGTTTAGATATTAATTCATCACTAGTTTCAGTTGATTCTTTGTTCTTGGCTCAGCAGCACACACTTAGCCACCCATGATCAAACCCAGGCCCGTGGCAGGCATCTCTCCAC